ACCTATCTCGCCTATTTTTTATTGACTTCCATAGAGTCCTCTGTTCTCCTATTCTTTCCAATACCTCTTCATTTCTAACCTTTTCTACCCACGATATCCTCATCATCCGCCTATAACACCACATTTCGAACGCTTCTAACCTTTTCTTTTCCGCCGCTCCCACTGTCCATGTTTCACACCCGTACAACGTACAATTAATAAACACTACACATTTTACTGGTTTGTTTTTTTGTTTTATTAAGGGTGATCAATAACAAAATAAAAAATATGAGCAAAAAAGAGGTAGTTTAAAAACATATTCCACATTTTATTGACAAAAATGTTAAATTAAAGTAAGTATTAGGTAACTTTTGCGTTCTCTATCAAAGTAGTCCATTTAAGCGTGTAATACATAGTCGATATAGTTTTTTAATTATGTATAAAGACGTCTGTAGTTTGGGAGATAAGAGTTTATTTTTATTTTCTTTTGTAGTGAAAGCAGGTCATCATTACCCTGTTTGCTTTTATCAAGAATGAAAAATTTCTCTTGCGGTGGTTTAACAGCATGCTCGTTACGTTTTTGAATACCCCGTTTCAGTTACCAGACCAGAGCTTATAGATTTTTATACATGTGAAAATAATTTTGCGGTTTTTTATAGCGGGAATGTACAATGTGTAATACTCTTGTATATCTTAAAATATGTGAAATATTCCTCATCAGACTCGATGATTTAAGGTTCATAATATGTTACATCTACTCATGCTGTTGTGTGGGTTTGTAGGTCCTTCGTTTTTTCGACTTTGAGATAAAAAAAAAGAGACAATAAGTTGACTCCAGCATAAAGATCTAAAAAGTTATCGTAGAACTTCTAAATTTAAATTCTAATAGTTCTAAGATTCCGGGAACAATTTGGAAACTTTTCAAAATGGTTTCAATTTCCTAGGAGTAAATAAGGACAAACAGTCGATAATTTTGTTATTTCCAGGTAAATCAATTATTTTTGTTTCACTTTCAGATTTAATCATATTGAGACGCGCCCGTTTGAATCCGATGTTTTGTAAAAAATACAAATTTTAAATCATTTTTGACACCAATGGATTTAGGTCTTTACAATTATTGCTCAACCTATCAGTCTAGAAAAACTGCGATACAGTCTAAACTCTTTATAACGTTACTCGATTTATCGACAAACTCCTTAAAACGTCGAAATTGGTTGATTTATATTGTTTTCTATACAATATTACACTCTATATAGCGTCACGCTCACTCTATTTAACGACAATAATGCGGCATTATAAGTCATTAAACAGTAGTTTCTAAGTTGCCGAAATAGATAAGAACTGTAGCTGTGTACAGGCCTGACGCTGGAAGCTGGCGGAAATTTTAAAATGGCGTGGATGCGCGGTGGCAAAAGTAGGCAGTTTTAGGTATAAAGATTGCAGCCCTCATTCTTCAGTATTCCTATCAGGGGCGTAGATTAAATATTTAAAAGTAGGGCTCAGTGAGAAGCAAGTAATAGACAGACAAACAGAAGGACTAATTGTTGATGTTGGTGACAGTGATAGAGATTCCCATGATGAGAGTGAATGTAAAAACTAACTATAAAACAAAACCAATAGGTTAATTTTTTCATTTTGATAAGTCATGTTTTTACGTTATTTTCTAGTACGCTATTGTCCTATCTGTATTAATACTATAATTTAAGCCTACTTAAAGCTTATTTGTGTATCGGTTTCAAGTGACTTACCCAAATAGGTCATAAATGGACAAGTACCTGCGCGACCGCTCGCCAACTTCCTTCGTCAGACCTGTACGTTGTTGAAGAAGACGATCCTGTCCCTCCACCAAGCATCAAACGAGCACTTGATGCAGCGAAACTATTAAAAAAATACTTTTTATATAATCAAATTGATCCAGCAGTATCTCAAGATATGAGTAAGATACGTAACAAAATACAATTAAAATATTGGAGCAGCAAAAAACGTCAGACGAAGATAACATGCTATACGCAATGTATGAATAATAATGTTCGTGTGCGAAATGTGTACTATATTGGTAAATGCATATTATTACAGAATAGAAAATAATATCTTTTATATCTCTCCATTTAACGACCACTCCTTATAACGCCGAAAAATGTTCAGTCCCTTAAGTGTCGTTATATAGAGGTTATACTGTGTACTAACATGTCTTAATATTAATCGGAAATCGTGTTTGCGTAGATCGCAGGTGTATGAACCGTACTTCAAATTAAAGATATCAACATTCTACGGTTGTTAAAAAAAGTACAGTACGATCGGTCGCCTGTGNTAAAATACAAAAGGGAAATCTATTTTGTATTTTACATTTGAAGTAACTAATTAAAGAAGAATTTTCATTTTGTGTTTAAATGGATTTTAAAAACGATTTTGCACATCTCTACATGTGTAGATTTGTATTTTTTTTCTCCTAAACATTCATTGAGAATTACACGAGCGTACAAGATCAAATTTTTAATTCACTTTATCGTACACTTCTCTTATTAAAAATTCTTCGTTTACCTAAAACACATTCGAAGCGAGATTGGTATTTTTAATTAAATTACCTTCCTGTTACAGGTATCCCGATAAAAATAACATCTACTGCACCGAAAGCCGTTGTACATGGGCGATTCTCATTAGTTTCGTCCTTCCGATTTTACTTTGCACCCCTACGTATTTTGTTGTTGCAATAAAATCGACGACGATCGTCGAAGAAGGACATAAGCAAATCCTGCACCACACCGCCCTGAGCGACGTAGCAGCACACAACGAAACATTCCTAGTATTCAATTTCTGGATGTACGCAGTCATCATAAAATTGTTACCGTGTTGCTTGCTGACAATAATTAGCGTATGGCTTATAAGAACGTTGTTTCTCGTTAAGAAAAGAAAGCAAATTCTTAAAATGGGTTACGCCACTTGCTCGTCTACCGATGATAGCAATCAAATAATGAAGAAGAAAATAACGAAACCGGAGAGAAGGGCGAACAGGACGACGAAAATGTTGGTAGCCGTTCTTATTCTCTTCTTAACAACCGAATTTCCACAGGGTATCTTTGGATTACTTATAGGTATTAAAGGAAAATGCTTTTTTTTAAAGTGTTATCAAAATTTCGGAGAGATCATGGACTTGCTCGCTCTGTTAAACGGAGCGATTAACTTTATTTTGTACTGTTGCATGAACAGGATGTTTCGGACGATATTCGGACAACTTTTCAGACAAAAAATTTTGTACAAATGGTCGTCGCAATCCGATTTACATACGACGTATGTATGAGGAATACCTCTGAACCGCCTAAGTGTTGTACGGCGTGGAGGAAAATCGGAATAACTTATGAGAAAATGTTTTATGACCCTGATTTAAAAACACGATAATTATTTATTTATCAGACAAAGACACGAAAATTAGGTGCGACCATTGATTTTATTTATTTTTTTTTGAAAGGCAATTAAAACTTCAAAGAATTTTTTTACTCATTTTGATGAGTCAGAGATTTTTTATCTTTCCCCATTTATCCGGATTCAGTGGACGGGAAATTTACGAAATAACTATCTGTAATCATCAAAGTTCAAGGAAATTTACAAAAGCAAAATGTTCACTTAAACTCATTCACGCGTTTTCCTTTTAAGAGGAAACAAATAAGTTACGTTACGTATAAAACTTTGGATGAGGGGTGTTTAAAAATATTTTGAATATCCTTTGAAATACTAAAATTACGATTACGGTTATTACTACTACAGTTATGGAATAATTACTTTTTCAACGATTTATCGGATAGCGATTGGATAGTCGGATTATAGTTAATTATTTATAGTATTGGGATCCGCCAAATGGGCATACACCATCTGGTGGCAAAAGTTATAACTCGAATGAGGGAAAAATTTACATAGGAACTGTGCACGCAAATTGTAAAATTGTTTATTAAAATAATAAAACACGTTAAAAAAGTAAAAATTTTTTTGATGATGGAGTCGACGAAGTTTTCTTCTAAAGTTAAATCAAATAAAAAGTTAATATGTTCAGTGAAAAGCTGCAATAGCACTTCAGACATAGATCTTCACTCTTCACCTACATTAACTACTTTCCAATAAAAACTAACCGTTTTATATATGTAAAAAATATATTCGGAAAATTAGAGAAAAAAGTAAACTAATAGAAGCTTGGATGAAAGCAGTAGGTATCAAAGAAGTGAATTCCGGAATAAAAATTTGTTCACGTCATTTTAATGCACATGATTATATTTCAGCAAGTATTTACCATCAGCCATAACCTTAATATTTAAAACTAGAATCATACTAAAATTATAAAGTGAGAAATTATTTATTCCTGTGTAATTGATTTAACACAATTCTAATGATACGATATAAGTATTTTGAGGTTAAGAACCTACCTGCTGCAATACAACAAAGTTGCAATAATGTGTTTGCAACGTTCTCTTAAATCGGCTTTGCACGTGCAAGTCATTGATATGATATTGCTTAAATCACCCAGAATCACCTCACCAATTATATAACGTGAATCACTTTTTAAATCCGAAGTTTGTAAAAAGTAGGCAGTAAACTTGACGGAATTTGAAGGCTAGCTTCCGGATTTGTTATTTCCGAATTTTATAATGTGATTGGCATTAAAAACACGCTCACCTTCAACGGAATTTCCTTTCCGAGGCTTTGTGTCAGCCCAATCACATATTGTGTCAATACTTAACATTTTATCGTAATTTAAAAACTTGGAAATTGCACGGTATACTATAGGAACTACGATAAATTTTCCCTAATCGGTGCCATGTTTTTAGGCTCCTCCCATTTGACGGATCCCAATATTTACTCGTAAACCGAAGTGGTAATTGTTAATCGTAATCGTAATTATACAAAACATTTCCGTGACTAAATTGGAATTTGTCCACTTCATTCGATTATAAATAAATCGATTAGAAATGTTGTAATACCTTCGCAAAGTCAATTAAACACTTTTGAAAAACAGCACAATTAAAGGCAATTAATCTTTCGCATATTTCGTGAATTTGGTAATTTTATAGTTCAAATAAACTTTACCGAATATGAAATAGAGAAAACAGGGTATTAAGGGAGAGAAATAATAATTCAAAATTCGCTAATAGATAGATTTCGTCAGAAGATAGTTCTAAACGTAATGGTTTAAAAATTTTTATTTAAATGCATAAATGCATTTGCTTATTATGATTTGATGTAGAACAACATGTATTTTTCAAAGTGAGAAGCACTTTATCCTGCAAATTATAAATTCCATTAGGGATTGAAAAGGTCCTAATAAAGGTTTCAAATTTTGTTGTTACGGAGAAGTTATATCCGAATTTATCCACAGGGACGTGAGATTGTCCAGAAACGTTCCAAGAATATTTTACACATTTACATAAGTAAATAATGAGGTTTTCCTGATTATGATTTCAAAGGTATCAACTCCAAATGACCGTTGGGGTTTTTAAATAGTAAAAAATATAAAAGAAGTTTGTACATCTCGATCGGACAATTTTTAAGAAAACTCGAAAAAACGCTTACAGTGAGTATTTATTTTTAAATTCATAACTTCCAATTTACAACGAAGATTTTCCGGGAAATGATAGGGTATTACACGGGCGGTAGATGAAATTTGTCGCATTAGTAGTTGCTCCATAATTACAAAATGAATAATTTACCGCATTTTCTTGTCAATGTCACAATATTGACCTAACAGGTTCGACCAAACGAATTCTGAAGGACGAAATTATGGACTACAAATTTTGTATATGTAATAAATTTATTGAAATATGCTAAAAGTCAATACGAACATAGCATGAAACTTACGTCCAAGCGGTGGTAATAGTATGACGGGGGTAAATTTGTGAAGTGCAAAGTACAGGTTTGGACTGAAGTTTCATTAGCGATTTTTCCATTACAATAATTCAGTTTCAGTTTTAATAACTGTAGTCATCATCAGAAAATAATATTTCAGTGCATATATGCAGGTGAATCAATTTGGCCGAAAGACAATATAACTTATGATAATATGGTAATAAAAATTTCTCTGTCATATGTTTTTGGGCCAAATAGGTACGCATTAAACATGAACTAAATGTGTTAAAATATCAACATCTCTCAGTGTTTTTCAATCCATGTTTACAACAGGTATCTAATACTTACACATATCGATGTACTTCCCAACTTTTGTATAAAGAAAAAGACAAAAATAACATCTAATATAGTTAGGACGATCAAAATTGGTAAAGTCTACAATAAATTATGTGTAGGAATGGACGTATCTTCTCTTTCATTCCACTTGGGACTATAGTTATTTGTTGCGTTTTGAACACGTCCTTGTTAAGCTAGGAAATGCTTCATACATGCAGATAAAGTGAAAAAAGAAAAACGAGTAATACAAAGCGGTGCAGCGGTTAAAGGCTGCTTAGGTACGCAAAAGATTTTTTTTGTTTTGTAATTATTCTGTTCGTATTATATCTTTAAACAAGCGTCTAGCTTTCCTAAATTCCTGGGATTGTTAAATTTTCTTTAAAGTCTGATACTGGCAACATACTCAAATTCTTCTTGTCTACATCTTTTTCTGTTACACATCAATTGGTGTACTGTTATTCCTTTTTTTGAAGTGAAACTTCTTTACGCACGGTAGGGTAAGTTCGTTTCATGCGAGTTGCTATGTAACGAAATCATGCAACGCATTTCCCCCGCTGTCTGTCCCTATCTATGCTTAGATCTTCAAAACTACTCAACGGATTTTAATGCGGTTTTTTTTTTTAATAGATAGAGTATTCAAGATGAAGGTTTATATGTATAATATGTGCATAATATAGTTAAGAAACACTAATAATATTAGAGGTTTATAATGTGATGTCGTAAATAAACACATTGTTTTGCGCTTACATTGCAAACGCTGGCTGAACTCTACGAGATAGATTAAAATAATATACTACAGAGTATTGTACACCTTAAAAAGGTCTACAAAAAAGTCCGGGATGGTATATGTCTATCTCTTAAGGATAATGCACAATAATCATTTTTTATCCTTTACTTTTTACGAAAAATAATGGCTTATTTACGAAGCGATTTTAAGCAATACAACATTAATCCTTATCCAATTAAGTACTTTTAAATANATTTTAAGCAACACGGTATTAACTCTTATCCAATTAAGTACCTTAAATACATTGTGCATTAATATAGATCAATATGGCCCTTTACAGCATGTAATTTAAATGAATATTTTCGAAGATATTACAGACTTAAAATGCAGGGACATAGAGGTTTCGGCGGTACCGGCCGGTTTGTATTGTCTAATGACAAAAAGCTGTGATTGTTGTATATATAGATATTCTATAGTATATTTACTATCAGCATTGCACCCGTGCGATGCATAATGTACAAATAATACCATTAAACCAATTCCTTAACCCCTATCCCGGTATGTTTGAAGAAGTTTTACTTCAGTAGCGTGTTGTGTAATTACACGTTGTGTTTTTTTTACTAGTGTCCGTTGCAATTCCTATCTGGCATCTCTTTTCTATATTTACAATATTCCCTACATCGTCTGTCGTGAGTAATAGTAGGCGTTCAAGTCTAGTTAATAAGTTGAATAAAGAAAGTATATGCGACTATGCCAATTTTGAACGTACCACCTATACCATTCCTTGTAGCAGTCAACAACCGATTTGTGTACCACTATACATATAGTAGCATTTACCGATGTGATATTAAAATATCAATATTGATGTTATTTTTATATAAATGATTTTGATGCCGTTTTGTGGTTTGCCATTTACCTGTTGTTATTGTTATATTATACGTAAAAAAATCGTTGTCACACTGTCAATTCACTAGGATTATTGCAAAGAGCTATCAAGCCATATAATGTTTTCAATATATGTAATTCTGAATGTAATCATGGAAATAATTTACCACCATTACGACTAAAATAAAGCCGAATGTAATAATTATTCGCAGATTTACACACTTTAGTCTAGAAGATTAACAAATTAATTGATAAGAAGTAAGAAACGGCCAATTTAAGGTAAGATTGTAGGTATATATCTCCTCACTTTTAACCTTTTCCTATCTTACTGATGAACTTATCTTAAAGTATATTAAATTTTTTGTATTTTTTATACAGTTGAAAATTCTGAAAGTTCTACAATAAATTAACGTTGCTTCAAAATGCGAATGTCGAAGTAATTACCATATTATGCTTTGAGATTATGTTGGCATACATATTTAGACGTCTTTACTTTAGTTACGCCTTTAACTTAATGTAACGGTTAAAAGTTTAACTAAGTTGTCATACTAATGCGGCAGCTAGATAATAGAATGCATTGTTCTAAAATAACAACAGTACAAAATTGGTTCCGAGTTGACTCTTTGTTTTAGTGACATGCAAATGCAAGTTTTTCAAATTAATCACATTTGTAATTATCTCACAATCCACAGAATTTCCAGTTTGTTTAACGTTTAATCCTTTGTTTCCGTAATAGACTAACATTTACAACTGTGTCACCTCGATCTACGCATTAAGTGATAATCTAGGTATCTCGAGCTTACTCAAAAATATGTCTAACTACTAAACTATAACAAGTGACAACAGTACGTAGAATTTTATGGTGCCTTCAGATTTCGAGTGCGTCTTCAACTAAATCCGCTACTGACTTATTTACGATTAAAATAGAGAAAACGGCCTGAACAAAAAAAGCGCTCGTTAAATTTCGGTGAGATAGAAATTATCTGTTGCACCATGAATGGTAGTTATTATGTAGGAAAGTACGTAGAATTTAAAGGTGCCTTCAGATTTCGAGTGCGTCTTCAACTAAATCCGCTACTGACTTATTTACGATTAAAATAGAGAAAACGGTTTGAACACAAAAAGCGCTCGTTAATTTTCGCTGAGATAGAAATTATCTACTGCACCATGAAAGGTAATAATTATGTAAAAAAGTACGTAGAATTTAATGGTGCCTTCAGATTTCGAGTGCGTCTTCAACTAAATCCGCTACTGAATTATTTACGGTTAAAATAGAGAAAACGGTCTGAACAAAAAAAAAGCGCTCGTTAATTTTCGGTGAGATAGAAATTATTTACTGTACCATAAAAGGTAATTATTTTGTATAAAAGTACGTAGAATTAAATTCTACTGAAGAGAATTTTACCGGAAGACAACAAATTTTTATGGAGAATTTTCTGCAGAGAATTAGTTTTAATAATAAGTGCACATTTCCCAGAATTTAGACTAATTCTCAGAATGAAATTCTTTTGAAATGCCAAAAGGTAGAAAGTTTATGTAATAGCATGTGTTTTCGTTAATAAAATGAAATTAAATAGCAATAACAATTTAAAGGTATAGTTCGCATGCAATATATCATTCCTAAAATTAAAGATCTTGGCATTCTAGGTTCATTATAAAAGAGTGCGGNTTATTTAAAAATAGTTAATTCATTATTTCAACGTATTATTTTGTGGTTTGTTCAAGAAGGGTGGTGAGTTTCGCATAAAAATGTTGCTATCGGTGGAAAATCGTTTTCTAATTTTCTTCATAATTAAATTATTAGTTTAACAGCAGCGTATGTTGGGTTGTCTATACACCTAAAGGTAACCATTACTGCACCGCCCAATTCATAATTCAAAAGTATGAAATTATCAAATACATGTATCTTCCAATAAACGAGAATAAGAATTTCATATAATTAGTGAAGTAATTAGTTATTAGATACTTTCAAAAGCTTTCAAAGTAGAGAGTGGTCAACCATTCTCTAAGGCAATGGCAAAGTTAAGAAAAAAATGGGGTATATTCAAAATACATATACGTTTTGCTCTGGTTTTCAGTTGTATCTAATACGTGATATAATCATTTTTGAGCAAAAAAAACTTTGAATTCAAATACCCTGTATATATTATTTCATAGATATGGAGTATCTGTACAGTAGAAATAGAAATTAGTTCACGTTCACGCTTGTTTACGTCAGAAAACAAACCGACCACAACCCAGTTTTGTGAACAGCTGGCTGATGTCGTTTTTTTGAAACGGTTGTCGGTTATGTCGTACTTGAGTTGTGTTTTTTCGCGCTAATAAATAAATTTGTTTCCTAAATTATGAATTAAAAGTTGTAATGTGTATTACTAATATTAAGTCAGTGCCTAAAAATTAATCAACTGTTTATTTAAATGATGAATACTTTTGAGTCTTAAAAAGATCTCATGTTAACCTTATTATGCAGGAAAGTAATAAAATAGCATATACAGGTCAAAATAGTCCTCCACTGTTGGGTTTTGACTGCAGAACAATAGAAGAAGGATCCAAACTAGTCAAATCCTGCAGACGATCTTTTATTAATTTTCAAAGTAGCCTTAAGCTATTTTGTAGTACACCTTTGGGTAGGGCAACATACCAAAAAGTTATGGAAACATCCTTTTCACGAAACTCTGAATATACTGAAAAAGGAACAAAAGGCCTTGCGCATTTCACATTAGATGGTGATAGTGGATATGTTTCCCACTTTCAAGAATCCAATTCTGGTTCGTGCATTGGAGGGTCTTCGGAGCCCAACAGTGTAACAAAAATGGTAGAAGATAATATATATATCAGTGAAGATGCTTTATTAGAAAGACCTGAAGTGTACAATATCAATTTTAATCAAGCAGGAAGTGAACAAGAAAACTTTGAAGAATACAGTCATCTTTTTTATTTGAATGATAGTGTTGTTGGCTCTTCTGGAGGCGGTAGTGAAAAGACTTGTTTAAGTGGACTTGAAAACGATTCTGATATTTCTAGTATTATCTACCCTATTGATAATATAGTAATTACAGGAAAAGACTGCAATTTAGATGCAAACTGTGAATTTGAGTCAAGAAACAAAATGATGAACGAAGTGGTTGACAATTCAAGTGTAAATAAATCAAATTTGAATTCGCCCATTATTAAGAAATTTAAAAAGTCATATTCATCACCCTTAAAGGTAAGTAATAATACTATTCAGTAAAGTAAGATTTTCCCTCCAATAATAATTACATTTTTTTCTAGAAAACTTCATCACCATTGAAAACTAAACAAAGCTATTCAGATGAAAATAAAGAAAACAATATAAACTATTTAAATCATTCCAATCAATTTAACAAAGATAAAGAGCACAGGACTGCAATTGAGAAAAATTCTGTTACTATTAAAAGGCCTTTGTTTGAAACAGAAAAGTTTAAAACTTATGAATCAGATTCTATAAATTTAAATAGTTCAGCTAACACATCTCATACCAAAAGTTTTGATAGTTCCTGTGTAAGTCCAGAACTGTTTTCAGATGATGAAACTACGAATGAGGTACAAAATTTTAAGGAAGTTGAAAAAAAAATTTCTGAAGAAATCTGTGTCAATAAAGATGATCAAATATTATTGAAAAGAACTCGGGATGCCTTAAAAGGCGTACTGCCACCTCCAAGTGTAACAATTATTCAAATCTCAACGGAAGAAATCCTCAATAAAATTTATACAAATAGCAATTTATTTTTTTCAAAAACAGAGATAAAAAATATTCAAGGTGCCAATAAAGTTGCTGCAGCTAATAATTCCGAATGCAATACATCTTCCAGTGGTAACGTTAATGATCTTACAAAAAATAAAAATGATACTCAGAGGAAGTCATTACTGGTTACATGTGATTTTCAATCTATTGATTCAGTAGAATGGCCAGAAATAGCAAAATACAGATTTCATGGTTTATTGTATGTAGATTTAAATGAAGCTATAGTATATTATTAATAATAATAATTTAAATTGTAGGTATAATAGGGCCAAATTTTCTGAAGAATTTGAACACTTATGTCAGAAATATGGAGAGAGATATGTAGGTGTAGAAACGCAGTCTACTTGCACCGTTTTCTCTAATGAAATATCAAGCCCTTCAAAAAGAAAATTAATTAAGGCGAGAAAAGTTGGAAAATCTCCAGGCAAAAGGCTAAGTCATCTGGCTAGAAGACGGATCACCTTTTCAAAAGATTCTCTCCATTCCAGCAACTCATTTATCGGTGCTAGATCAAGACAAATATTGATTGATGCCAGGTACACATTTGACTAATTAATTTTGAGGAAATATTGTGCACACTTAAATTTTTAATATTTATTAGAAAACAAGCAGTTCTTTCAAAAAGCCCCCAGAAGACTCCTCGGAAGACTCCCAGGAAAACGCCTAGAAAAAGTCCACGTAAAAGGAGGACGCCAAACAGTTCTATGAAGAAAAAGCGTCTTTCAGAACTTTTTTCGAGAACAAATTCAGAAGCGAGCACTTCGTACTGTAGTCCGAGCAAAAAATTGCCACTTAAAAGTCCTTGCGATTACTTTAATGGAAACAGTGAATCATCGTCGGTCCTTTCTACAGGTAAAAGTTATATTAAAATTATTTGCATTGCAGCTAATTATAACTTAATTAAGGAAATGAAGCATTACAGCAAATTGCAATTCAAAAGATTAACTAAAGTAAATTCCTTAGTACGTTAAATTAGGCTTTACAGTAATAGTTACATAGGCAGTCTAAATTGAAATAAAGTAAGAAATTTTAAAAATTTATAAAAATGTAACATTAATTAAATTTATGACATCAGTAGTATACAAATAGTTTTATTATAAAAATTAGCGCCTTAATATTAATCTCTTAGATTCATCATCGTCTACATCAAAACGTCGAACCCCTCGCAGAGTTCTATTTACGTCTCCCAAAAAAATGTCACCACAAAAAGGTAAAATTCTCATGTTACATTCGAAGTACTCACGACTAAGTTTTTATTACTTTAGGTCTGTCGAGTTTATATTCGAAAAAGAAATTAACGCCCAAGAGGGCATTATTTATGTCACCCGAGAAAGATAATAGCTGTGATAAAAAAAGAAAAAGAAGCGAAAATGAAAGTGATGAGAGTGAATTATTGATAAAAACCAAATTGCCAAGAAGTTTATCGTTTCCTGCTCAATGCTCCAGTAGCAGTACTGAAAACCCTAGAATTATTTCAAAGTTCAAAAGTTCTGGAAGTCTATCTTCTTCCAGTGTCCAGTCGCACAGCCAGGACCTTACTGAACATCGGAAGAAAGTAAGTAAATAATGTTTCTGTTTTCATTTTGCCCATCTCATCCTTCTCTTCCAACTTACCACCCATCGATTCCCACGATTATCAAACAGGCTGAAGACTAATTTGTTAAGAATTCAAACAATATTGTAGTTTATAATTTTTGTATTTTATTATTCATTTTTATAAGTTCACGTTGAGATCCAAAACCCTTGACACGTAAATAAATTAACAATAAGATAAATAAATTATCTATTGTTCCTAGAAACTTTTATGGGCGGTTTCGGAAGCTCTACGCTCTCAAACCATTTCGATGGTTCATCCACAATTCAAAGTTTTCGCTTCCGTGCTAGCTCGAGTTACTCGACGGCTTCTTCCCAATTTAAACACGTCAGCAACACGTCCGGAAGGTAGCACCAGTGAACTGATGTTACGAATAGCTAGACAACACGTGTTTGCTGTAACCAGAGGGAAAACAGTTGACGAGATATTACATGACGTGGAGAAGAATAAAGTAAAACAATCGAAACCAGTGGGATACGTGGGGCCCGAATGCTCCTCTAGGAGTAATAAAGAAAATTTACCCAAATCGAAACCAAGTACTAGTGGCGTTTTAACTCAGAATAATCAGTCAAGAAAGTCTTTTAGAGATGAAAAAGTGGAGAGAATTCGTAGAGCGATTAATTTTGGTGAATGTGAGAATGATGTGGAAAACAAAAGTAGCAATATCTGACTAGGGGCCAATGCCAGGACTGTAAACCCAATATTTCGATGTTTGAAAAGTATCAAAAGAACTTATATACATTTTAGATAAATAGTAATTGTACATAGTTGCAAACTTATTGTTTGTTTTCATTTGCATTAATTTTTCATATTTCTGAGTTTTCACATAAAATTTGAAGTTATTTATTAACTTCATAGTTGCTCATAGCTAAAATGAAGTGGTTTGTAAAAAGAATAGTGTAATTTATATGGTGATAAATATTTTCAGGCCAATACGTTTTATATAATTTCTTAATGTTTAGAAAAATTGGTAAATTTGTACTTTATTAAATATCAGAAATCTATAAAATATCTCATGTTTTGAGTTTACTTGAATAAGAAGGGGTTACTCGTTCTATTACATATTAATAATAAAATAATTATTAAATATTTGTACAGCGTTAAAATATTAGTTTATATTGTATTTTCTAAACAGTCCTGGCATTATCAAGCAACAATAATTTAGGCTATTTTTTAATATGCAAAAATTACGTTTAATTNCCATGTCAAAATATAAAAAGAAAGAGTATGAGTGCAATGAGTGTTAAATGATTTAAAGATGACATAAGTGGGTTGGTAACTGAGGGCAAGATGAAAGCGTATAGGGGATCTTTTGGGTAAAAGTACTGTAATTTAATTTGTATTTCATATGGACATTAAATATATTTAAATATTTTCAATAGCGTTGTTAAAATTGCAGTGAAAACCTTTCACCATCAAATTAAAACTAATCATGTTAATACGGAAACGTCGAAACTTCTGATAGTTCGGTTTTTATTGTGAAAGTAGGTATGCTATTTCCTACTTAAGTACGTGTATGTATTACAGCTCATAAATTAAATTGTGTAGGTGTATTACTCACTATATCTTTTATCGTAAGTGATAAGATAAGCCAATTCGAAATTTCTTTGTTTCTGATATTCGTTAGTATATTATTTATTTATTAAAAGGTGTAAAAGACATATTGTGAATAAAAATGGGTTCTTCAAATTCTGTACAAGGTATAACCGAATATTTATTAGACGAATATACAGAATTAACTTTTTTAACAAGAGCGGAAATTTTGTAGTAAGTACGCAATTTTTTTATAGCATCGTAGTATCCATTTGATTATAATATTTATTAATGCTACTTTGTTTAGTTTGTTTAAACAATTTAGAACCTTAGCTCCCAGAGAATTAGATATAGACATTTACCACCGAGTTCCTGTAAATTTTATTAAAGAACTGTGTCCACAACTCAAGGTTTGCCCAAAAGCAAATATATGAAAATAATTTTTAAGAAAGTAGGTATCCGTTTTACTTTTAGTATAATCCTTTTCGGGATCGAATATTTCGGGTATTTTCGTCATGTAAAGATGAAAAGTTTTCTTTTGAAGACTTATTGGACTTATATTCTGTAATGTCTGAAAATTGTCCGGATTCTGTTAAAGCAGCATGGGCTTTTAAAATATTAGATTTTGATGATGATGGAGAAGTTGGAGAGGAAGATTTATATACTGTTATCGATCGTCTAACGAAAGGTAATGATCCTGCAAGAGTCATCGATCCTAACGACAAGCATCACATAGTTTCAGTGGTAAATATGTTTTTTTTTTTTTTGATATAATGTACTTCAGTGAACATTTTTTGAGTTATAGATTTTAAAAGAGCTGGATCTACAATCCAATGGGTGCATTGGAAGATTAGAATTCGAACATGCTGTTGGAAAGATGTCTGAATTTCCCAGTTCATTTTCATTTAGAACTTAATAATTCTTTATTTATGCTAATAGCAATCATTTGGCATTTTTTTATTTTACACAAAAGAGACGTTTACATCCAAATATTAAAAATTACTTACAAACCAACAGTACCACATATAAATAAAAATCACAATTAGGTACAAAAATAGACATAATTTGCATATCTTGCATTAAATTATCTTTTATAACTTATATCACTACTTGGTGCAAATCTACCAGTGAGTGCTCTGGCCGGCAAGGGTGGGGCCCTGAAGCTTCTTTCCAGTGTCAGTGGTAACACTGCAGGATCTTTGTATTTAACATAATATTGCGGAGATTTCAAGTACCTTCTACAAAAATTAATCATATAAATTAAAAATTTTTATCAGTTAATCGTTTTCTAAGTATACGCACGTTGTGGGGTCGGATGGGCATTGGTACCTAAAGTCTGCCGTTCTAAAGTAATCGTACGGATGTAATCTTCCGGTATGATCTTTATATTGATCCCTATGTAACTGCGTTAGCTTAAAAATGCATATTAATCGTACAAATTGCTAAACTTTAACGATGGTAAATTATAAGTTTGTTATTTTAAAAACTGTTTACCTTATAAAAATCGTTTATTTCCTGCTGTCTACCTAAATTGACCACTGTGACTGGCGAAGGGGGCATATTTAACATTTTCGCCCAATTTGTACTTTTACCACCCACAGCTATATCAGGTCGAGGACTATAAGGTGTTTTTGTCAAACCCCATTCATATGGGGGCATCTATAATAAAATGAACTGAATCTAATACTAGCAGTTCGAAAGTAGTATCAGTTCTACATTCATTAAAAAAGCCCGGCACAGTTCATGAATGCGAACTAAAACGTGCGTCATAAAAATACATGTATTTTCGTGAAATTTTTGTTTGAAAAAGTTTGAATTTAAGTCTCGCAAGTATCGTGAGTGCTATCAAATGAAAGGTATATGAGAGTACACTATATACTTAAATGATTTGATATTATCTGTTCTATTCTGTACTAATATTACCAAGGGTTGAAATTTGTTGTTCGTTATTCGGGATAAAATCATTGCATATTACTTAACCAGTTCTTACTTGAAATTTGCTAAGATTTTCATTTCGATAGTTTTGAAAGTAACTAATATTGGCAGATTCCGAAAGACTCCCGTATCCATTTTTAATAGGTGGATGAGCACCCATAAAAGCTGGTTGAATGGAAGGCGGGTAATATGTTGCTTTCATATCAGATAAATTAGGATCTCCACCCATGATTAACTTTTTATATGTATATTTTTAAACAAACAAAAAATTTGGACTTCAATTTTGACATCAAACAAAAATAAAATAATTGCCGCACAGTATACTAGCTACAATATAAAATAATAGTTACAAAAAATTAGTGGGGCTGTAAAAAAAGTAAAATAATGATATAATTATTACATATTTTGGATGAGATAAATATTTAAATCAGTCGGAAAACCAATTTTTATTATGCAATACGGGTTAACTAAGGAGTAATTTGGGTTGCCTAACCTAAATCAATGGTAAACACTTGTGTCAGTGAATAATGTAATATTTTATATTCGTTCAATATAATTATTATGATTTAATTTTATTAATTATAGTGTATTAATTGAATAATTATATGTAAAACTGTGCAGTATTGTGTCGTTTTTGATTGTTAGAAAATTACAACTTTGCTTCTATGCAGGCAATTGTAATAGTGAAATGTCCTTTTGACACTATAAAATAAGGTAATTCTACAACTTATTCCTTTATCTATTCCAATCAAATAATTAAAAAATTACATTTGTTAATATAAAAAAAAATAGTAGTATTATGATCATTATTATTATTATATCATAAAAACCAGACTTATAAAATAATAATTTTTGTAATCTAACCTCAATTTTACCATTTCAGATAATTTATAAACTCTTATATTTTGAAGAAATTAATAAATATAAATGACCATTAACGCTGATATGGTTATGGATATTTACTACGCTCAAGACAAACTGCAAGAATTATGGCAAACAATAAGTTTACAACATTTAAGCTATTTAGAAATGGAGGAAACTCCAGAAAAATTAGAGCAAAGAAATAAACTAGAAGGTACATAAATACATCATTTTTAAAAAAATTCTAGCAAAAACTATTTTCAGAATACGTCAAAGAATATCTCTATTTAGCCCCACATAATAAAAAGTTTCTGTTACAAGAAACTGCCCAAGTACTGCATAGATCGGCAAATACAAAAAAAGATTTCAGTGGTTACAGGGCAGCTTTAGGATGGTCAGCAATTGGAATATATGCTGCCAATCTTTTAGCTCAACCTTGGAGGAAGGAATACAAAAGAATTAAGGTAATTGTCTAATTTCACTAATTATTCGTAAGTATGCAGTCCCATAAGTGTTTGTATTTTAATATTGGTTATTTTGGAATTGTGTTTTAGCTTGCTTAAATGTTCCTCAAAATTACATATTAATTTACCAACTTTTGAAATTACTCCCTAAATGACATTAAGTAAAAATTTTACTAATTTGAGTTAGTTTTGTTACATACTTATTCACACTACTTTCTATAATAGATGTATTCTGGATTTTATAAACATCAAATTGAAGCAAATTTAGTGGGTGCTGAAATTATGTTTGAAGCAATGGGCTACAAATATGATAGGAACTGCTCTATTCTTCTAATGGATGGACCTGTTTGTCCAGACAGGCTAATAAATGTTTCCCAGGATTCTCTTATTGCATATGTGGAGTGCCAGGTACATACATTTACATTAATTGATTTGTACTGCTTAGTATGAATATATAACCTTCCACATTTTAAAAGTAATTATAAATTATGCGCCATGTCAACCATACTTACGAGTTTCCAATAAAGAATTTTTGTAGTTCTCCTTATAAAGGAGTTAAAGAAGAGCTACACTCAAATGTACACCCTGTAGAACAGAAAATAGTTTTTTACTTATTTTCTAAATTGGTCTTTTTTAAATATAAATTAGGTAAATTGTACCTAATTTTCAGATTTTAAAGACTATATGGGAAGAAGTTTCTGCCAGTTATAAAATTTCGTGGTTAGAAGTTCTTGAGTTTCGAGAAACGCATCTGTGCAATCCAAAACAGTCAGTTTTGGCTTTGACCTATCGATACCATGAAAAACAATATCTGCAGCACACTCGCAGTTATTCGCAAGGAGCTGATCCCTTCTCTAACATGGGTGCTCGATACTCACCTCCAGTTACGAACGTCTATCCAACAGTTACTACTAACCATTCTTTTCCTCCAACTATACATACCCATTTACCACCCCAAGTATTACCTGTGCCGTCATCCGCCCAATATATGTACGGCACAAACGGCTATTTTGCGAATAACTATCCGACTTATGCCCCAATTCTTCCTGCACAGCATTATCCTTGCAATTTCCCAATTACCTGCACACAATCCTTGTCCAAACCTTGTCATACAAACAATAATAACTACTGTTGTTTAAATGGATATGCAGTGGGTATTCCTCAAGATTACAATACGCAGTCTATACCGACCGCCCAACTGGTAGATATCGATCCTCGTAACATATACGATGTCCCAGACGGAAGACCGAGACCTGTTAGTACACCACAAACAAATTTTGTACAACAGCCAAATTTATATAGAGACAGTGCAAGAAATAGCATTCAAGTAAATTCAGACAAAGAAGAGGTTCCCCCAGGAAACATCGAAAGTTGGGATTATGTGTACCGAAATTTGGAAAGCCAAGGTTACTCAAAAGACTTAGGGGAAAGGGGCGATCTGCTAACTAGTACTTTAGAAACAAAGAAACTCAAAAACATGGGGAAAAAAACTGGTTTAGAGGAGACTTTTAGTAACCTCAGTGTAAAGAGAACTGTGAACAAACCAAGGGAAACAGAAAGGCTGGAGGGTCTGAAGCGTGAAACGGAAAAACTGAAAGCTAATGTTAGCACAGTTCCTAAAGTGGAAAGTCCGCCTCGAAAAACTAGTATTAGTAAAATTAGTTCTAGCTTGCAAGAAGCTTTGAACAAAAAGAGTGACAATTTGAAGTCGAAAACCCTCAATGTTAAAAAACCAAAGAATAAGGAGAATAAAGACAAAGAAGATAAATGTGATGGTAAATTAACAGAAATGGAAAAGAGAACGCAATGGGAATGCAGTGCGTGTACATTTTTAAACAAAGATGGAGTAGACATTTGTGAAATTTGTGGTAAAAGTAAAAAAACCATGGAAGAAGTAATGGAAATAGGAGGGTCGGAATGTCCCAAGTGTACATTGGTAAATCCAAAAAATATAAATTTTTGTAAAGCCTGCAATCACAGTTTGGCAAACTCGCCAACTTATATTTGAAATAATTCATATTATTTAATGTTAGGGGTTGTTTTTGCTTAAAAAAAAAGTTTTTGCAATTAGCGAGGGCTTTCATAATAATATTAGGACTAAACGTGATATTAACCTTCATTAAGCTTAATAACTTTCTATTCCTGTACATTTTGTACAAAGTAATGACTACTGAAATTGAGAAGTATTTATATTTATATATGAATGTCTGTTTCAAAAATTATTTAACTTAAAAGCAATCTGTAGTTCAGAAATGATTACTCAAGTCTGTTGCTTTACCTGTAAATTACTATTTTGTCAAAAACACTTATTTTATGTACATCCTAATTTCAATCTGATATGAATTTTGCAGTTGTTTTTCTTAAAGAAAACAAAAATAGTAAAATAAATAAAGTAATTTAATGCAAAGTTCATTTCACATTAAATGTTCTTGAAATTAATCCCGATAAAGATTTTCTTTGTCTACAAGGTGATTTACCTACAGTTGAGTACTTTTTGTTAATAATAATTTTAAACTGTATACACTCTTTATAGTAGTTGTTTTCATTGCTGGTATGAAATATATATTTTTAAGTATATGTATATATTGTGTTTGGTGATAATTTTTCTGTATGTTATTACAGTTTTATTTATTTATGTTCACTTCCGCAAAAAAATCAATGTAAGTGAGTCACCTTTTATATATTATAAAGAATTATAATAACGAAGAAGGCTCGATATTTAGGCTTGATGACCCTGGTCCAGTATTAGTTTTCTACCTTCGGTGAAGACACTGATTGAATCGTTTATGTGACGTTTCGTCAGCTGCTGTTTGGCATCCTCAAAGAACGTAGAAAAGGCGTAAAATCCTTTGCTGCTCAGACAAGGCACAATCGCTACTTCCCTTAGGATAACAGCCTTAGCAACTAAACGGTTGAACGACTTCATCTGTGGAAAAATCAGTCCATGTATCATGGTCATCGAGCCTTCTTCAAATATCGCCGGCCTTGAAAACCTTAGCCTTTTTAATAATAATAATGGTTCTTATTCCACTTTCGAGTTTTGTAAAGTTTATTTGATTATCTGAGACGTAGAAATAATATTCTAATTGTTACTGTTTGACTGTTACTTTGTTCAGAAAGTTTATTATATAGAGCTTTACACTATTGCAAATGTAATATTTGTTATAGACTATGCTGAATATTTTTCAAAATTGTTGTAGTATTTTATTTATCCTCCAACGAAAACTTAGGTTTTTTAGTTTTGCCTTTATTCAATTGTGTACATTGAATAAGCATTTCATCGAGATTTATTTTTAATTTCGGATTGTAATGTTATTGTGAATTTTTAATGTTTTAAGTCTTCTCTGCTAACAAATATTAAGTTCTCTGTTTCTCATTGAAGAAAATGGTTTTTATTTTGTATTGAATTGCAGTGAGTATTAATATTATCCAATTGATTGATTTAGTATTTATTTTGTAGAACTTTTTATCGTATCAATTTGTTTTAATGTTTTATTCTTACAAGGTTCATATTTGTAGAAATGATCTAGTTTTAGTAAAAAAATAAACCACTCAATTTATAATGACATTATTTTAATTGGTTTGTTTATATTTAATGAATTCATTTGAGAATTAAAGTATATAATATTTGTACTCATTAATTTTAAGTCGTTAATGAACTCATTAAATTTAAATTGGCCTCCACTTTAACAAAAAATATCTTTTATTTGTCTTTTATACTTTTAAGGATCCTCAGAATGAAGCAAAATTCCGCTTCATTGTACCTATATGTTAACATCAACAGACTCAGTGCGACAGTACAACGTTTTTTTATCAGGGATGCTACATGTACACGAAACTGTATAATAGTAGCCCTAACCGAAAAGTTTACCGAGTTTGTGTGAAGGTATTTTATCCTGTATAATTTGGAGAATGAAAATTGTAAAAGTCTAAGAGAAAGATCGAAGTTTAGACGGAAATAGAGTCAGAATTAGGAAGAAACGGTAAGTTTTATATATTTAATTTACCCTTTTTTTAATCGAAAATAACTGTTCGAAATTTGATATAATAACGCGCCAATGTACGTCGTACGTATATTGTATACCGTTTTCATAACGAAAAAATCGAATATGTAATACCGTACCGCTTGCCAACGTTTTGCTGATGTTTCTCGTAGGTATAGGGGATCTTTCGAGTTAAATATGAAACTTCTGTTGGAATAATGTTTCTACAATTTATGACAGGGTGATTATTAAAGAATACAAGAAAAATTATCAGAATAAACTTTATTTGTTTAATATGTTACATAAAACCACAAAAATGTGAACAATCACATTTGAGTCAACTATATTAATTAACAAATTAATAATTTTTATAATACACAAATTATATTATGACACAATATTGCAAATAATAATTGAATATCACCATAAACTCCTAAAAACTAATACAACTGTAAACTTCAAAATCTAATTATTATTGTGTTATTTTCTTCGTTTAAGTTCTAAAAGAAGAAAATAGCATAATCATAATGTTCAAAAATTTAAAGGCATATTTCAGTTATATTGACTTAAAAGAAAAAGTATGCTACTATAGACCAATTTTCTTTCTTATTGAATAATACAATTCTATTATGTGAATACAATAAAATAAGGTAGAATAATTTATGGAAGTTGGTCGTCCAATTCTATACATCTGTACACATGGCTTTCCAAGGCTGGATAATCTCTAACCTTGAGAAAACACTTTGGGCAGACATATTTATACAGTTCCTGAAAGAAAATAATATTTTAGTATAATATAATAAACACTAGATGTTACTCCTACTAGCAAAGATTTTATTAAACAAATAAAGCAGATCTGTTGTTTACAATTATGCGTGTTATGAACTTAATGTGGTTTTGTGTAAAGGAATAAATAGCATCAACAGTGTTAATAAAAAACACCTGCATATCTGAAAAACCAAACACAAAAATCTCACCCTTTTTTTTTTAGTCTTTCAGACAACATTGCATGTGTTCTTCAATAAGTTTATATGACCTAAAAGTTGTACTGCATAATGGACACATGTACCGCAGCGGTGGCGGAGACTTAAAAAAATTAAAATTGTCCGTTCTGAACAATGAAATTTTGTAATAAAATGTAAAATACTTACATCTTGGGGTGCAGACGGAGTTGAAGTGGCGCCTCTTGCATCATCTTCAACAACAACAAAAGCACCATTTCTTAATCGTTCAACTTCTTCTAGTAATTGCTGATTTCTTCTCTGAAGATGGCGCAAATCATCAGCTAACTGCTCTTTTTCTTCTTTCAAGTTGTTCTTTTGATGGCGTTCAGCTTCAAAATCGGCTTTATATAAATCCAACTAGAATAAAGGATAATTAACTACTAGCAAATTACTATAAAATAAAACTGTCATACTTGTGTTCGTAATGCAGCAACAGTATTTATGTTCACTTCCGCAAAAAAATCAATGTAAGTGAGTCACCTTTTATATATTATAAAGAATTATAATAACGAAGAAGGCTCGATATTTAGGCTTGATGACCCTGGTCCAGTATTAGTTTTCTACCTTCGGTGAAGACACTGATTGAATCGTTTATGTGACGTTTCGTCAGCTGCTGTTTGGCATCCTCAAAGAACGTAGAAAAGGCGTAAAATCCTTTGCTGCTCAGACAAGGCACAATCGCTACTTCCCTTAGGATAACAGCCTTAGCAACTAAACGGTTGAACGACTTCATCTGTGGAAAAATCAGTCCATGTATCATGGTCATCGAGCCTTCTTCAAATATCGCCGGCCTTGAAAACCTTAGCCTTTTTAATAATAATAATGGTTCTTATTCCACTTTCGAGTTTTGTAANAGCTAACTGCTCTTTTTCTTCTTTCAAGTTGTTCTTTTGATGGCGTTCAGCTTCAAAATCGGCTTTATATAAATCCAACTAGAATAAAGGATAATTAACTACTAGCAAATTACTATAAAATAAAACTGTCATACTTGTGTTCGTAATGCAGCAACAGTATCATCATCTGTTGTTTTTTGTTTCAGAGTTGCTTCTAAGCTTTGTATTTCTTCTTGTTTGCTAGTGATGGTGTCCAAATCTTGTTTTCTCAACAGTTCTAACTTTGTAATGTGCATCTGAGCAGCTGTTAACTGCTCCACAACTTTTGAATTCATCTCTTCTCTTGATTTATCATGTATGTGTTGATTTAATTTATCCTGAAGACTTTTATTCTCTTCTAATAACTTATTCACAGTTACTGATTGATTTCGTGTTTGTGTATCAATGTCATGTCTTAACTAAAAAAAATATAAGCACAAAATCTAGTTGAGATATCAAAATAAAATGTATTTTAGCTACCTTTTCAGCTTGAGCAACTGCTTCATCAAGTTCTCTTTTTATACTGTTGATAGTAAGTTCCATAACTTCATTCTTCCTTTTTAGTTCCTCATTTTCTGCTTGAACTTGATCAAGTTGTGCTTCAAGGCAAGTTACTTTCTTTTGGGTCATTTCTATTTCAAATTGCTTCACATTTTCAAAGCTACTTTTTATTAATTCAACTTCTTGCTTCTCACAATTCTGTTTGGAGTTTTCATTCAGTTTTTCTTTTTCTAATTTTGCAATTTCTTGCTTTAATTTTTCAAGTTCAAGAACGAGCTCAGCGTTCTTCTGACTTAAATCATCTTGCTTCATCTCAGTGGTTTGTTTAGTATTTTGATCATCAGAATTTTGCAAGGCAACTGTGAGTCTAGCATTTTCTAACTTAAGCTATAAATACAGAAGGATTTAAATAACTTGGACCTTTAATACCACTTTACTTTTACCTTCTCAATATATTGTTTTGTTTCTGCAAATCTCTCTTTGTGTGATTCATGTACTTTAAGAACTTCTTCCTGCCATAGAACTAGTGTCTCATACTTCTTTTTCATTGCCAAATTATTTTGGTGGAGAGTTTCTGAAACAACAAAATTAAACACTATTGCTATGTAAAATTATTAATATTAAACCTTTTAGTTTCATGTTTTCTTCAATAAGGTCGTCAATTTTATGCTGAATTTCATCTGGACTTAAATCTGTTGATATGGATGGAGGCATACTAATTGGTTCTTCATTCTGCATTATCACCTGGAAAACCACAAAAAAGATATTTTTAGAACTAAGTTAATATTTATCTATAACCAGATACAACATGAAACTTAGAAACTAACTTACACTTTCAGAAGGTTTTTCAATCTTTGTTATTGTTGCTAATTCTGAATTTTCCTTATTTTTCTCCTCTATAGACTTTAGCATAGTGCTTGCTAGTTCCAGGGATTCCCGTATAACATCAGCTTCCAAAAATATTTCTTCTCCAATTTCGTTAGGTGGTATAGATTTACTCAGAACAACAAATGATTCTTCATCATCTGATTCAGAAGACATATAGCATCCCTTAGATAGAATTTGTTTGTGATTTTCTTCTACTACACTTGAAGCCATTGTAGGTTATTAACTTTAATTTGACCTTAAATTACAGAAAACGGAAATTAATCGACAAACTTTACTAAAAGGATAATTAACTATATGTGAATGTTTAATATTTAATTGTATGATTCATACCAATTTGATGATTGCACCACTTCTACACGAAAAATACTTTTGATAAGTGAAAATGTCACACGGATGTCAATATCATATTATTATAAACATAAAACAATGCAGTTTTCTATTCCCTTATGTCATCGTAGTGTCGTTGTACATTAGTAGATGGCGACGCAAGCTTGAAATCGGAATATTCTTGAAAGAAGTCGGGGAGATGTGTTTCGGTTCTGTTTCAGGACAATGCACATTTTAGCCTGGTTAGCTTGCGTAGTTGTGTAGGTTTATGGCTGTAGTTGTACAGTGCAGCTGCGTTTGTGGTTTGTATATTGTATGCAAAACGAGGTTCGGTGTACTACTCGCAAGTGACATTCGTATATTGTAAATTAGAAAAATTAACTATTACTCAATTAAAATACAATTCTAATAATTCGATATAGTGAGAGTGGTCGAATTAGTAAAAACATTAACTCATGATTTCTTTAGAAAAAGTATATATTGAATTTGTAAGACGTTTTTGTGTTCATTTACATGGCAAGTGTTTCAGGAGTGTAAGTGTGCTTTTGTGAAGTGTTTTTCGTGAATTAATTATAATTCATATTTACATTCGCGATATATACAATAAGGAAATATATACGTAGTTCAAGAGCTTTAAAGGTATTGGTTTGGATGTGCGAAAATACTTGATTTCATTGAAAAATGGATGGCACTAAAGAAAGAGAGACTGAGGCGTTTGGGGGTATATTTCAACAAATTATCCAGGATATGAAGGTAAGCTCTGATTTAGGTTAGAAAGAAATAGAAAGGTTTTGTCGGTATTACGGGAATACAAATTTTAATATAATAATTTATAAAATGTTTTTTGTATATATATATATAGGTACATGGCATCATATTTATCGAATCTATGTATAATAGGTACCTACTTGTCTAGTAAAAAGTAATATTGAAATCTTACTGCAGATTTATTACAATATTAAAACCAAATATTAAATTCAGTCCCTATCATGGTTAATAAGTATGCGTCTGTAATTAATTGGGCATTGCTGGTTTATAATCATCTGATAATAATATTGTTTATGCAATGAAGGAAAACATTAATTGATATGTATAATTACCTTTTATTTATTTATTAAAAACACTTCATCAAAAGTAAGGTAAAACAATACAATTTTTTTCGTAGTAGAAGTAAAGTAAAAGTACGTGATTGAGGTACTTACCGGATATAAGATACGTACTACATATTGTATTACTTAAATTCAAATTCATTTATATTTTACATGTAGATAAGATTAAAAGTATGATAAGTACTTAGGTACATACCTATATGTCCTATCAACAATCCTACGTTATTTACCTATACCTATTACAAATAAAACTATGACTGCTATCAATTTATCAATTGCCCAACTATTATTTGTAGGTGCCTACATTTAATGGTTAATTGTAAAACAAATACGTAGCAAAAAAAAAATTAATAAAAAGATCTTGATTTCAAAATTACTGGTACACTATAAGAATTGACGGTATAATAGGTATCTATAAGCATACCTATTAATTTAAAAGTTTTTAATTAACATGTCTGCCTGTCTGTTATAAATCTTACAAGTCTTATTAATACTAACAGTAATAATAATATGTCGTACGTTTAGTGTCAAAATTTTATAATTTTTCGTAAGAAGACAAAATGTTACTTCAAATGTCTTCTTTTTAAAGAAAACATTGTGGCAATTTGAAATACACAAAAGTATCAGTAACGGAGGCCATAAAAATGAGAAGGATTTCCGTTAGAGTCACATTCCTTTGATACTTGTTCTAATCCAAACACTAGACTTTTCATACTTGCTTAAACCCTTCTTTAAGGTATTAGAACCTTTTTGCGAAAGGATAACTGTATACAGGTACGGCGAAACCTCCACCGAACATAGAAATTGTACAATTCTTTGTCATTTTGCTTTTTTCGTGCCTAACAAAAATTATCTCCTGCTTCTGTGAAACCTACACTTTAAGAAAAGTTACAAAAAAAATTCGAAAATTTTATCCCTTATGTAGTAAACGGATTCTATCACCCCTTTCATGTTGTGACTATTAAGTCGTATAAGACTTTTAAGTATCATTCACATTAATTCAGAATTTATTGTTCTCAAGTAAAACAGACGAACGTCTGTTTTTTTCAAGAGAGTAATTTGTTCCGTAATAATAAGTCTGAAGTGTCCTATCCCAGGCCTTAATTACTAATTAACTGACTTAGATTGTGTACACTTGTTCAATGGAGATGTATTGTCCTTAGGTAGTACTATATTTATGTATATAGAAATTGTAGAAATACTTTTATTTGTGCCCTCTTTTGTTTGTTCAAATACTAACATCATTTTAAAAATAATTAGACAATTCTCTTTACTTCTTAAAACAGGCGTTGGTTATTCTAATAGTAGGGTAATAAGATTGATATAAAACAATCCTTTAAGAAAATGAAAACGAGATAAGCTCAATGTGGAAAAGCATCTAGTTCAAATTTTAGCTATAGGTAATAGTGTAATATTTATGATTTATTTCTTGAATAGGTACTTTTTTTGATATTGTTTAAGTTGAAACAATAACAATAATTATGAAGAAATTAAATTTATGCTTGATTGATAATCTTACGATTTTCGCACACTTGGTATTAATTCACGTAATTATAAGGTCAACATTTTTATAATGAATGTCACCGAGTCGTTGCACTGTAGTGCGATGTATCGTTTTGCGTGTTGTAATAAATTATTAGCAGTGTATTATACTTAACAATGGTAGAGGTAATTTAGAATAACATGACATGACTCGGTGACAAAATTTTGCCCTTTTACCGATAACTGTATTTCTACCTTTTAAAAACATTTGACGGTAAGTGTATCTGGAGCTTCATTTCTAGTTGTATGTCATGGCCAAAATCAGTAGAATAACAATAATATTAGTGCGATAAGGCCCGCCTCCAGCACATCTGAAAGTTCATGTCATTTTAAACTACCTGTACGTCTTCGCACTTTTTACTTCACAGCAAATAATAAAAGGTGCAGAGTAATCAACTCATTTGGTACGTAGTACCTAGTAGAAAGTAGCCGATTTGTCTGACAAAACTAACGGTATAAGGGTTTTTTTTTTGTTCAACATCAACGTATCATTTGACCATTTTCACAATTACTACGTAGTAAAGCGTGATAATCCAAAATAGGCGAACCGGAATGAATTCGTAACTGATGCTTGTAGACTGATCGTCTTTTTTTTAATTTGTTCATTCAGTGGCGTCTGGTGCATAAGGTCACAAGGAGCATGTGCCCTTACCTACGAGAAAAATATTTTTTAGGGAAGAATAATGAAACGCTAAACTTGCTTTGCTAAATACTTTTATTATGGTAGTATAAACTGATATATTGAAAAGCATAAATACTATGTTTAACTTCTGCAGCAGGACAACCAATTATTTCGCTTATTTCAAGTGTTTTAAATTTAAAATAACAATTGATACTTTGTTGATGTTTTTTCTGAACATTTATTTAATCTACAACTTTATAAATCACAAACTAATTCCAACAAGTTATTGTGTGTTCTCATTAACGCGTCATAAATTCAGTTTGACAGGTAGATTCCTTCCTAAGGCCCTTGCCAAACAAATGAAATGCTATAGTTACCAACAAATGCCAATAGATGGCGTAAAGCCGCTCATAACTTGATATAACTGTTTTCCTTGGTCCTGCATTATCTACCATAAATCCATTAGTTATATGAGTTGAACGGATTCAGAAGGACCATTTCACTCACCTTCCAAAGAGTGGTCCACGCCCATAATGAAATTATATCTTTACAATTACAATGCAAAATGCGATTCTCTTAATATAGGTAATATGTACATGTATCTGTGTGGAACAGCAACAACTCATCATTTTTATTGTGGAGAAAGTTTTTCGCGGCCAATTCATTGTAGAAAATTATTTTTATTTTCTGAACGTTGATCGCCCACACTTTTACTTGTCGGTTGAACAATCCCGTGCTTTGGTCCTTATCGATTATTTATGGATTAACACAGCTTTTGCGGATCTCATTAGCGTGATTTAAATTGATGAATATTCTGACAATACATCGGAAGAGGTGCCAGTAACATTATCATTAATCAGCTATTACCTATAACAAAACGTCTATTGAATAAGTACTTTCAAGTTCCAAACTTAGAAATCTTATTTTAAGGAGAATGGGGTTTCTTAATATTATGTAAAAGGATTCGCGCAAATTCCAAAAATATATAACGAAAATTTGACCAAAATCTACACTTGAATTCAGAAAACAAAATATTTTTAATTCCCAATAATATAATAGCTACTTCACTTTTAAATAAACAAGTATGGTAAGTATAATATTTCTAATCAATTTATGTATCAATCGGACTAATGCTGCTGCCAACTTTTCAGTTTACGTAAAATCGTGAGGTAACGCAAACCTTAATCTCCAGTCCCCTCCACGTCACACGACTAGGCTGGACCCCCCTCACCCATAAATTGCGTTACGTATTTTGTAGAAACTCCTTATCATTGATTTACGAAATAAAAAGGTTTATAGTAACAGTTTGGTTTTTAGGGTTCCGTACGTCCGGATGAAAAACGGAACCCTTATAGTATCAGTGATGTCTGTCACAGTCAATTTGATCCGAATTTCTGTGACCCAGACACGGACGCATAACGTAGATAAATAAGTTAATTTTGAACATGGGTGTCATTTTTTGAGGGGCCAATTATAGGACATTAGTGTCCGACCGAAACCGAAACCGAATTTCGGCAACGGTCTCAGTTTCGGCTGAAACCGAAACCGAAGCTTCCTCATAAGGATCATGTTTTGAGAGAAAAATAAAGAAAACGTTATTATAATCAGTCAGTTTTATTTTTTTATCTTTAAATCACATAGCTCTGCAGTCTTTGACATTTTCACTTATTGATAATCAAATCAAAATCAACATAACAACCCCTCATTTAAGGAAATACTTTAATTGCGCCTTAAAAATACTTAAAATA